GAGTAGAGGAGGGTAATTTTGGAATGAGTTGATCGAATACTAAGAAAAATATCTCAATCCGAACAAACTTTCTGACCGTTCGTGACACCATCAGGATCCAAGATGTTTCCTTCCTCCCTATGAAAGCACTTAGATGCAGATAGACCCCACCCGCACAAAATGCGTCCAACTGTGTGACGGTTTTGGCTCGTCGGTAACCGCGAAGCTGGAGCCCGCGAGGCGTACTACCAAGCTAAGGAAAAACACCGTAAAAGCCCTCCAATGTCGTCAAATTTTATTTGAAAAGATATGAATTTACCGGGAAATTTTAAAATATTTTCCCTCACAATTTTTCAAAAACTTTCACTGACTTTTTGATCGAAAATAGCAGAAAATTTCAAGGAGAAACATTCGAAACCTTCTTCAAAATAAATGTTCTACTTACTAGGGGGAAATTTGGCAACATGCAAATTTTCATAGGGCGTTTTTCCTCCTCACGGCTGTGTACCCACGCTACCGTGCAGAGGAAAAACGCCGCGTGAACCTTCAGGCGTTGCCAAATTTTCTTTCGTAAAAAGCGAATTTTCTGATAAATTTATGAATATTTTCCTCCCAATTTTTCAGATCATTTTGTTCGCAATTTCACCCAATGGTCCTGAAAATTTAAATGAAAAATATTCATAACTTTCCTAAAAATACATATTTTATCGGAGTAAATTTGGCAACTCTCGAATGTTCATAGGGCGTTTTTCCTCGGCACGGGAGTGTACCCACGGGGCCGGCGACGGGACATTCGTCAAGGCACTAAACAGCTTCACAGTCAAAGCGGAGTCAAGTGAAAGAAATTGTGTCATTCATAAAATCAACCTCCGCGATAATTGACTTTGAAACTCGGGAGCCGGGCTCAAACAGGAGCCGTGAACAATAACTATGCATCACCCGCGGCTCGGCGGCGGCTGCACGCGCAATTTGGAGCCGCTTCAATTTCTCGGGCTCCGGCTCGAAATTTCGAGGGTTCGCGAGTGGTCAAAGAGCTGCAGCCGTGACATTGGATTCTTAACGAGAGCCAAGCGCCCCCCCCCCCCCCCCCCTCCCGCGCGGGAGCGCCCTCCCCCTGTCACACCTGCATCTCGCGCCTCGACTCGCTATCATCCGTCTTGCTGTAACGAGCCTGGCAGGCGACGCGCGCGCCGCGTCGCGCGTCACCGCGATATTTTCAGAGACACCTTACTTTACTTTGTAACGCTAACAAGACTATGCGATTCGAATCGGACCTATTTTACCAAAATTAGTCTATCTACATATTTAATTTCGCCTAATGGGTCAGTTGCGCTGGTCATAGAATCGTTTCTTAGTGCTTAATTTTTGTGGATCAGCTTAAAATAATCAGATCTGTCCAAACCGCAATTTTCTACGTTTAATATTAACCGAGATATCGCCCATTAAAAAGTCGGGTTTTTGACGTCATCCACCGCGGTAGTAACATCCTTGGTTCCTTTCACCTTGTTTTCATCCAAGTTCAACGTTAAGTAACCACTGACTGATGAAAACAAGCGCGGGTGTCACTACCACGGTGGATGACGTCAAAAACCCGACTTTTCAAAGGACGATATCTCGGTTAATATTGAACGTAGAAAGTTGCGGTTTGGACGTATCTTATTATTTTTAACTTATCCGCAAGAATCAAGCATCAAAGACGACTTTATGACCAACGCAACTGACCCATTTCCTCTTGATTGGTTGATTATTTGAAGACTTCGAAAAGTACGTGACGCTTAAAATTGCATGTTTTCACTCTAGCGTTCCTCACGTATCGTCCCTGTAAACTAAATCTACATCCCGTAAAAAAGTTACGTTACGCTTTACTCAACCCCTTCTCCCCTCAAATTAACATTTGTAACGAATTTTGGATGAAAAGTTGCTATCTCGAGTTGTTTTTCCAACTTCTAAAGCTTCTAAAACTCTCGACAACCGACGTAAGCATCCCTTCCAGCGTTTTGTGCCGCAGCCCTGAACAAGTGAACACCTCCCTGCATTACACCCGCATCGCAAGCTCAGGACTCCCCTAAAGTGTTACGTACTTCATTAACGGTCCGTTAAACCACGTCCAATTTCCGTTTTACTAACGACATTCTGCAGATGATGATCATTTTAGAGCACTGATTGTGAGTTTCCATTATTTTGTCAACGAAGTTGGACAAAAAAGAATTAACAATTTCGTCCACTCTCGTTGAATCATTATCGCAAAAACCGCGAACTGCTAACGAAAAATTTGGCAGAATTTTATTGTAAGTAAGCTTTAACATAGGAAAACTCAATTTAAGCCCCTTGATCTTGCAAGAACTACGTGTTGCATTTCACTGACGCGGGAGCAAACGCCATAACTCTTCCAAATGTTGACCGCTCCTTAACATGTGCGCAATAATTTAATTTGCAATCATCAGGTAAATTATTGAGTTATCTTCCTTCAATTTCGCCTGAGAGCGCGCACTCTCATCTCTCTCTCGTGAGTAGGTACCTATATTTATTTTAAATCGACGCAACCCCACCTTCCTAATTGCCAGAGTGACATGTTTTCTATAATTAATCTGTTGCGCATGTCACAGAATCGTATTTTGAAGGCGCAGTCTTATACAGATTAACAAAAATAACGAGGTCAACTCTACATTATTGCCAAGTTTCCACGTGCCATGTGGTGATTTTACACTTAATACTCGCAATATTGCGAACACAATTTATACCAAAGTCCCTGTCATAACACTAGCGGTTAAGATTTAAAAAATTGGCAGACACTTCCGGTGCCTATTGAATTTTAACTGCAGGTCTTCACTTTTTGTTTCAAAATGTCCCATTTGCGTAGACAATTTCATTCAGACTTTAAAATTTACTGTATAGACACTAAAATACTAAAATATGGCATCCCAAGTTTTGCTACTCCCGGAAATTTTGACCAAGGGGTTGACGTAAGTAGAACAATATCCCCTCAGAGGCCCGGTTCACGCTGAGAAATCCAAATGTCATATTCAAAAAAAAAGTTTAGTTGACGTTTGCGTCCTAAAATCAATACAAGATTTTTGACAGGATTAGCCCGGGAACACGGACCAATAGAACCACGAAAAATGTTTAAGAAAGTGTCATGCGATATCATCCGCCCGCACTACAAACGATGGTTTCTTCCACCCTGTTTTAATCCATTTCACCGATTAAGAGGATTTGTGCTGGTTGCTGCAGTGCTGCACGTGCTGCTGATGCTGAATGGATTTAGCAAGTCAACGTTCATTAGTTTCCACTTATTCGAAGGGTCCAATACTGAAAAATAGTCTCTAGTGCGACTGACTGTTAGGGCGAAGTCTCGAAAACACTACACATAAGATATGAGACTGCCGATTCAAAGAGAGGAAAATTTTGTTGTGCTTTTAAGCCCTAAAGCTGGCATCTGAAGAGGGCTTGGGTCAAGAGGATGAACTTGACAGTCAGCAAACGACAGTAATTCACCAAAAATAAGACGAATGGAAACAAACACGATATGGAACTAGAGCAGAGCAAGGGAACGGACGCGCGTTGTTGACGGCGCAGAGATACAACTATTCGTACTTGATGGATGTCCGTGTTGCATCTGCAAAATTGAAGGCGCGATGGCGCGAGACGTAAACTCGCAAATGCTCCGCTTAATGTTATCGATAAGGTGTCGCTCAGTTTCGGGATAAAAGTTGACAAAAGAGGCCTAATTACGTCTTTCCTATCCTTATAGCCATGTTGTTAACGTCTTCCTTAAAGCACCATTCTTTACAAATAAAACAAATTGAACCAACACAGTATGGAAATAAAGCAAGGGAAAGGAAGCGCATCGATCACGGCGCAGAGATACGTACGAGATATGCGGCGATTCGTACTTGATGGATGTCCGTGTTGCGTCTGCAAAATTGAAGGCGCGATGACTTCCACTTTTTTCAGTCATATAGTGTGTTTTGGGGCAAAACACGCTGATTACTTTCAAGAATCTCGGTCGCAAGGAAAGTTCGACGTGGGCAGAGAAATCGGGCCTGTCGGCAGAACGATACCGGATTCGCTCTCATTGAAGCAGATCAGGCGAACGTGGCCAAACATTCTTGACTTGAAGCACGTGAAAATATTGGTTAAACAATTTGCGGGCGCATGAAGTGAACTGTATTTTCGGCTTATGGACGAGAGATACTGGAAGCACAATAAGAAATTGGTTTTGTGCCTGAGAACTTCTGATAATTGTACCAAAAAATTTTGATGGTTATTATGAACCGTACCGCCCTTCTCCGGGTACTCTGAATATTAAGGGAGACGTTTTCTCTCGAAAAAGCGGTGAATGACGTCATTCATTCGCATTTCGCTGGTGGACACGATAGTTTCTGCCACCCTGTCTTCATATCATTACGAATATTTACGCTGATTGCTGCCAGGAGCGCCATTTCAGATTTATGGGGGTTTTTCCCCCTACTGACGTAGTGACCTTTCAATGAGGTAGCCGCCAGGGTAATCTGGAGAAATCATCGGGGTATCCCAGCCTTTTCCTTCCCTTTCATCATGCCCAGCGGTTCTCCTTGGTCCGATTCCAAAACACAGGGCTGGGCAAATGCTTTGCCTGCACCCCCCTCCCCCCCCACAAATGGCGCGTTTGGTTGCTGCACGTGCAATAATGACCATAATTGGACTTGTCAATTTGCCGTTCGTTAGGTTTCCCTGATCCAGAGGGCTCATCCACGGATTCTTGTGCAAGTGACTGTTGAGGCGAAGTCTCGAAATATAATACTAGTGTTTTTGAGACAACCGTGGTTCAAATGGAAAACGGAACTACGTGCATTGTAACGTGAGCCGTGTCAAACATGTTTGCTTATGGGTCTCGGGGCTCACATCTTAAGGCACATAGTTCCGTTTGGTAGAAATGCGTCCAAATTCGAGTGGGAAATTCGCGGTGTCTACGGTGGCGGCGGCGGTTGCCAGTGCCACGCGGCCTCGCGCGCATCACTCAACGCCGACCGGCTTGGCCGCGCGAAACTCGGCGCGCGTAGTGACAGTCGTCGAAGATCCGCGCCGAATGCAGTCTCTCGGTAATTAGCGCAGGGAAGGGTCCGTTCCGAGTCCGTATCGGTGCGGCATCGAAGCTCCATCGACAAGCGCTGATCGCGGAGGGGTGAGCACCGAGCACCGAGCATCGAGCAGCCAGGAGTTTCCGTCATTAAGCGCAGATCCCGGTTCCCAATTCCCAGTCGTGATGACGGCGACGTGCGAAGTCGGCGCGAGCGGAGATCCAGTCTTCCCCCGGTCCCACGGCACGTGCTCCTGAAAAATGGTTCCACCCTCGGGCTCCGATTTCCCGCCGCCAGACCAACCCGAACCCTCGCCCAGATCCGCGGGTCATGACTAAACGCTGCCCTCGATCCCCGATTTCCGTTTCGATCGCGATGATAGCCAGTGTTAGTGTTCAAACGTTACCTACCTTCAGTATTCTACCCTCTTGTATTCAGTACCTGTGATTTTTTACCTCGTAGATTTTTAGTGTTGTGGCTCTTGCGACTTTGCCGGTCTCTTCAGTGACGACGGTTATCGACCACCGAGTGCGAAATTCAATATTCACAATGAAAGTAAGTAAGGGCTGCTTCCGTTGATCAATTTATACTTGTATCTTGGCTCGGATTTTTATACAGGGTGAACCAAAAGTCCCGCACCACCCTTCCTTTTTATGTTCTCTTTAAAGTTATGGGGGTCCTCTAAAGTCGTTTCTTTTGACCTAGAAGCGCTCAGGAAATTTCAACCCTCTATCTCAATTTATTTAGAAGTTACAGGGGTGATGCCGGGTGCTGTTGGTGCGGGAATTTTGGATCACCCTACAAAGTTGGAAAATGGGTATCCTCACTACAACGTCTAAAAATCTTCGATCTAGATTTTTTTAAAGCAAACCAAAATAACACCTTAAAATTTCCCTTAAATACTTTCAAATGATTGACAAAAATTTACAATTTTTTTTTAAAAAAAAAACTGTCGGCTGGCTACTTTGATAAAATGAAAATGGAAAAGATTTGCGATATCGCAACTTCATCCAAGCTTTTCCCGACTCCGCTATCGATAAGTTTCTTATCTTTTTTAAAAGAATGTTATCTATCATTTTTGCTGAAAATTTTAGGATAAACTCTTGTCATCCGGATCTTGGATAAACTCGTCTCATCTTGAGCGAAGTGAAGAATACACATTGTGGTGAAAAACGCTAGAAAATCGTTCTACCTTTCAAAAAAGTACAAAATGACAAACAAATTTGCAACTTCACAGACCGAGATAATTTCACCATCGATATTCCTAATCTTCTTATGTTTTAATGATAGACGTGTGGCAATTTGTTCAACAAAAACACTTGCTGGATACTACGTTGATATTCGTTTTTCGTGCATGATTGTGTTTCTAACGTTTCATTTAACAAACTTTTTTTTTTCTAAAATTCAATGATTCTCTATGAAATATACCTCATACAAAAATATATGGGAATAATAGTCATCACTTACTAACCCTCTCTTCTCTTTGTTTCTATTTATTTTGAGCCTCTCCCAAACAGCACAGTGCAATGAAAATATTGAAATAGAGTTGCAATTTTTGTACCCAAAAATTGCAATATTTTTACATCATTTGGTCACGAAATGCCGATTTTAAATAATCAAGAAGAAAAGATCCATGTATCAGAAAGATTGTTAAATTGCCGTGCAATAAAAATTAGAACTTGTTAGTTCTATTTCATAGCAACAAATTTCAACAAGAGGTGTCCCTTCAATCGGTAGATAGGCAACATACACAACACTCCGATACAGAGGCAATGATTTTACCATGTGATTGCAATTATAGCAATCTGTGCTTCTTAGATTGTAGTGGTATGACTCTGTCTTTAAAAATAGGTCTGACGATGACACATACAAGTGCACTGAGAATGAACTAGAAGAGTTACCTTTAAAATTTATATTTTTCCTATAGTCATCTGCATAATATATTGTGAGCAGGAAATCTAGAGTAATGCGAATCTGAAGCAGGTATAAAAATGTAATGTTTAGCGTGACTCGATGCGAAGATTTTACATTACTGTCTCAGGCGTTTATTTAATCACGCTTATGAAGTGCGGCCAGCTCAAGGCCTTTTAGTAGTCTGGATTATGAACTTAGTCTTGCGACTCGAGATAATGTATTTTGTCTCCGCTGAAGAGTGCGGTTCTGTAAATTTGTACTATTTTTTCACACTTGAGTGTCAGCACACTTGAGGTCTCTGATAACTCATAAATTACTAATATCTTTGGTATTCATACTGATTGTGAGAGCGGAAAGAGCAGGGTGCCACACAGCGCGAGCGACGCACTCGTAAGATATTTTTGTCATTTTTCGAACATTGCACAACGCTTAACGCATGCTTCCGTTTTCGAAACGCACATTCCGAATCCGAATAACGCATCTCTGTATACTCATACCTCAGGGAAGTATACTTGAGTTTTTTCTCGACGAAAACAAGGACCGTCGAAATTACACCTCATATACAGCCGTGCTAAGGAAAAACGCCGTATGAGCCCTCAGACGTTGCCAAATTTACCTCAATAAAAACCTAATTTACCGGGAAAATTATGAGTATTCTCCTTCAATTTTTTCCGAAAAAATTGTCCGCAAAGGATAAAGGCGTACGATGGCGCCTTTATCCTTTGCGGCGTTTTATGTAAGGCGTCTGAAAATTTCAAGGAAAAAACCGCATAATTTTCCTCAAAAATACGTATTTTATCCGGGGCAATTTAGCGGCTCTCGAATGTTCATACGGCGCTCCTCCTTAGCACGACAGTATACGTACATGTTTTAACCATGGCCAATCAAGACAAAAGTTTCGAGCAGTATTTGTACAAGATTAGGAATCACAAAAATGCTGCATTCGTGACGGTGCGGCGGATAGGAGGTACCAATTTTTGTGCTTAAAACCTCGAAGGTTCCATCGGCGGACCCAGCAAATTGGCAACATTATTTTTCTCCATTTAAACCTATGGAAATGTATCGATTCTTGGAGGGGCCAGGTGCTCCGACAAGAATCGATTATTTAACATAGGTTTAAATGGATGGAATCCGGTGTTGCCAAATTGCTGGATCCGCCTCTGGAAGGTTCTCATAGCTTTTTACGGGTCCGTATGCTTTAACCCATATCATAATTGAAACGTCGAGTGAATCAAATGAAGATCTGAAGCTATCGTATAGCAACAAAAATTATGTACGCAAAAACTGTCGCGTGAAATTGCACATCCGAAATTGCATGTCATGAGGATCTTTGGCGGAAAACAGTGTTGTCGCTGTGCACCAGGAATACTTTTCTCGATGGTATTATTAAGCCATTGATTTTATTTAAAGTTGGGAACGCTGCATGTAAAATAGAAGTCTTGATATCATTCTTAAAAGGTCTTTCTCATGATATTATGGCTGTCCACGGACAGTTAACATTTGACCAACCGAGGGCCTATTTCATAAAAGTGGTTCAAAACGATTTTTGCCATGGATCTGGAGGAACATTTTTGGTGGAGGCTTTTGAGCGTCACATCGATAATGGAGGTATAAAAACGTGTAACTCGAGAGTTGCGATGGTGTGAGTTTCCTGCATCCTTAAATTTCAATACGGAAGCTAACCAGCTGTTTTCAACCAACAGATTTTTCTGAATAAAAATTCATGCTAATAGGTTTCATTTAGACGGTATAGCTAATGATGGAAAAACATGAACTAAGAGCAAAGATTTGAAAAAATTGGAATCGAGACGGAAAAACATATCAGTCTTAAAATACTTTTATTTGATCTCAAACATATTTGTAAGAAAGACTCGAAAAACGTTTAATTGAAATTCCAGAAAGCAGTTTGGTTATTCTTCGTTTTAGAAATCCTCTTTCAAAATGTCAAAGAAATCTTATTTAAAACTTTTTTTTTCAAAACCCCGATTTTTAAAAGCAACTTAAAAACATGAAAGAAAATCTGAAAATGTTACTTTTATAAATTTGTTAAAAATATTTATAAAGGCCACTTTTAAAAACATTTTACAATTGTTTTTAAAATAGTTGAAGAATTACTTTAAAACTTTCAATGCCCTTAAATGACTCTTAAAATATTAAAATATCTTTAAAATAATTAAAAATGGCTTTAGAACATTTTAAAAACGCACAGGTACGTATCACCACAGCTTATTTGCTTAAGCGTTTCAAAATCGTTTTCGAGATCTTTTATGGTTTCCCTCGTCAGAGACATTTTACTGTTTTCAAAGATATTTTAAACACATCTTGGTGGGAGGGGAGGGGGGGGGTTGGTTATCGATACGCAGGTCATTTTGTGACGAACCCCATAATATTATTCGTAGAGTGGTGAAGATGCCATAGTCAGAGATGTAAATTTAAACAGTGGCGTCGTTTGTTTTTCGGAGTTTTGTTACCTCATTTACGTAGCAAATTTTCACGCCTCATTCCGCAGAGCTGGCACATCTAAACGACAAGAATGGAGACAATAAGGAGACAGAACGGAAATAAGAGAGTACCTCCAGTTGCTTGCCCGCTAGATATGTGCTGACTTTGCGTCAGCTTATGCTGAACGGTAAAATATTGACAACAAATATTCATTTCATTTTCCACACCGAACATAGCTAAAAATGCCGGTAAAAATGATTCCTGAAATAAACCGACTGCGGTGATAGCAAATTGAAGCGACTAAGAGGCAATTAAGGAATAATGAGGGGGCATCGACTATTACTTAAGGCATTTTGGCAGACTTTTTGATCCCCTTTTCCCATTTGGCCTTTTGCCCCCTCGTTCCCTTTTTGAATTACCTTTAAGCGGCCTGACCCCTTCCCCTCTGTTTCTTGAAAAATACCTCAGAAAGTATGAAAAATACCTGAAAAAAGATTTTTCTCGGAGAAATGAATTTTCTTTTTAAGTGGGAGGCTTGTTGACTGCGTAAGTCCGCAATCACATACCTCGTTTGCGGTGTCTGAAAATCTCCGCCTATATGTTATTTTTTTAAAGGAGAACAAATCGACAGCATACCTTGGAGTTAATGCAGAATTTTCTTCGCACAGAGAAGAAAAATCACGGCAGTTTTAAAGAATTGCCGTTGAGTAGTTTTCCTTTTCAAAAAATAAAGTATGACAGGAAGTCTGCGACGTCGCAAACCGAGTTATGTGATTGCCGACTTACACCGTCGTTATGTAAGACTGGACTTAACCCCTTCTCCTCGTGTATAGTCTTTAAATTCAAAAATCAAGGGATGGAGGAGGGTGACTTCTGACCACATCTTATGAGTTTTGGTCCACAATTGCCGCCGAAATTCAGAAAAAACGACAATTTTTCCAGGATGAGGGAAATCTTTATTTCGTGTGCTGTTACCTTTAGGATACACTTCGCAGATGGAAAAAGTCTTATTGGGACTGGTAGAGGACGTTCCCGCAGTCCGGCTTAACCTCATAGAATTCCGTGTATTTGTAGCTAATTTCCCAAACGTCATACGTTCACAAGATGAGTGCATGCCACCCCTAACAACGTCCACTCGCGAAAACTCAATTTTTGAAGTAATTTAAGCCGAATTTCAAGTCGGGTCGGGAGACAGCCGG